CAGCCCCCACCCCATGCCCCCAGCATCTTTCAGACCATCAGTCTTAGAGTTTCCAAGAATCTTTATTGAACTTTCTCAGCATCCTACACATGTCTGGAGGAGCCAGGGTGAGGCTTTGTGCCCACTGCCCACAGGGAAGGCCCAGGCTGGCAGGCCCCCACCGCATCTGAGGAGCCCTCATTTTTTCCGGGGTTGCTTGTCCGCGAAGCCCTCAAAGAACTCGTTGCACATCATGGCGATGCAGGACAGGAAGACGCAGTACTCCTGGAAGTCCACCTCGTTGTCTTTGTTGTTATCCAGGTTGCTCATCAGCTTCTGGAATGCTGCTTCATCTGTCCTTTTCTGCGGGGGAAGGGGCTACATGTAGACACCAGAGGTCCAGGGGACAAAGCCAAGGCCAGACCAGGTTCCCACCTGCAGATGGGGCTCAGGGAGGCGCGGCCACCCTGGGGCCAGCTTTGGAACTCCAAGCCTCAGGGCTAAGCTAGGCCGGGAGGTGGGTTACCCCCAGGTAAGGAGACCTGAAAGCCAGGATGCAACTGGAAAAGGGGAGCACATCTCCCCCAAAGGTCTTTCTAAGAATCCAATGACACAACGGTCATGAAAGCACTATATAAACTGCAGTGAGTCGGATACAGATGGAAATTGTGACTGATCAGGGGAAACAGGCGTGTGAGTGTCTCCATAACTGTGTCTTCATGTTTCACATCTAAAAACCTAATAGAAACTCAAAAATTGTTTTTTGCTGGAGTGATGGTGGACTGTCCTGGCTCGAAGGTCTCAGCTTAGCACACTAATTACCTTGGGAAGTTACTTAGCCTCCCTGAGCTTTAGTTGCCCTTCAGTTAAGTTGTACAAAGCCCCTGGCCAATTGTCTGGCCTGTAACCTACCTGTTCATTCTCAGCCACCTTTCTGCTGGGCGCCAGGATGTGAGAGGTAGGGGTACTCACTCTATTTCCAACCCAGGCAATCAGAGCAAGCTCTCTGCCTCGACTTCCCCAACTAGGTGATAGATGTCGGCTGTAGCCACTGCTCTGCAGAAAGACTGGTGCCTCCCAAGGCCTAACCCCTCCTCTGTGGTGACCACCCAAGAGGAGGACTCATTCCCAGGCAGTAGTCACTCACCCCCAAGAAGCTGGGCAGCTCCCGGGTCAGCAGTTCCTTTAGCTCAGACTTGTTGAGCTTGAACTTGTCACCTTCCTTGCCCGAGTACTTGTGGAAAGTAGACACCATCGCATCCAGGGCTTTTTCCAGGGGGGACGTCATGGTGGCAGTCGAGATCTGGGGGTGGGAGTCACAGAGGCACCCTTATCTTCCCCACCCCACCCCAGCTATGTAATTAGAATGCCCCACCCCACTCCCATCACTCAAGGAGCACTTGGTGACATTCTGCTCGCACCACAAGGGGAAGCCTAGAAAGGTGGGGCTCAGCTCCTGGAGGGGAGGGTGTGCACAGTGGGAAATGTGAGCTTCAGCAGCAAACACTTGCAGGGCCCGCTGCACAGGCTCTGAATTTCAGGCAGCAAGCAGCTCCCAGGGCCTCACTCCGTCCATTCAGTCCCTCAGCTTAGCCCACAGCAGCCCGCCCAGCTCATTCTCCTCCCTCCCAGCGCAGGGCGAGGCTGCTGGAGGCCTGCCCAGGAGTTTGTAGCGGAAAACACCAGCAGTATAGCGTAGGGAGGGGCAGGGTGAGGTGGCAGAGGCAGGGATGCAGGGGAGGCTGAGCTCCCTTGGGCTGGGCTGCTGGGTGCCGGACAGACGCTCACGGGACACTACCAGACGAAAGCCCACAGTTGCCTTCTGCCTTCACTTTGCTTCCCACACCGGAGTATGCACGCACAGGTTTATGCAAGCCAGCAAACACAAGCCAACGTACTCACCCACAGGTCACATACACACCAAACATACTATAGCAAAAACATTCTATAGCTCAAATCCAGCCAGTGCATGCATCTTTCTCTTTGTTCTCTCTCTCTCGCACATGCACAGGCGTGCACGCATACATTCCGCCCCAGAGCCTCCACATTGGAATCTCACATCTGGACCCATTTAGCACATCTGGCCCCCACCAGCCTCCCCGGTTCCTGTCCCAAGTCTCAGCCTGATACCCCTTGCATTCCGGTCAGGTGACCACAACTCACCAGTTCAAAAGAGAAGAAGCACTGAAGAGAGAAGGTTGGGGAGACAGGAAGAGTGGGGAAAGCCCAGCGGTCTGACCTATTTATACCCCGGCCAGGCCCTGCCCATGGCAGGACGGGGGAGAGCGGGAGACAGCCCTCCCTCCTGGGCCAATGTGGTGCGTGCCAGGGCCCCCTCCACCAACCCAGCCTGGAAACACAGCTCCCTGCCCTGAGGAGTCAAAGACAGACAATGGACAATGAGGAAGTCCCAGTGGGCACAGGCAAGGGGCCTCAATGAGGTGGGCACCCCTAATGTACACAGCGCAGCCTGAGTTTTAGGGACCTGGAAGAAGGGGCAGTCTATGCCTGGGGCATGGGGGACAGGGAACAAGTGGTTCCACCCAGCAGCTAGGAAAGGGAATCCAAGTGTGGTGGGTGATGGCTGGGAAGTTGCCCTGAAAATGTGACTGCCCAGGAACTAATGGAGGGGACCCCAGGCTCAGAGCTTGGGGTATATCATGCTATCTTTCTCTCCTCCCCAAAGTCTTACTCTGCCATGCTGAGTAAGACCCAGGGCAGGAGCTGGAGGTCTGGGAGAAGGGACAGGCTAACACCCAAAGGAGGCTCTGGGACCACCCAAGCTTCTCAGTGGAGAAGAGTCCTGGGTGAGGAAGTGATGAAGCAGGGAGTGGGAGTCAGGCATGGGAGCTCAGGGGTGCACTGACGGTACCAGGAGCAGGTGGGCAGGGAGGGCATCAGGGGGGTGGGTGTCAGGTGGAAAGTTAGAGATGAAATGGCACCAAATGGAAGGAGTTAGGGATCATGGTTAGCCCCTCAGGGTGGGGTGTGAATTCAGGGATTGAGTGAGGGTCACAAGTGGGGGGTTAAGGCCCTCAGGTGGCTGTGGATTCAGGGATGGGGTCTGTCTCAAGGTCTCCCTTTCCTCCTCCAATGCAAGGAACCCCTCCTTGGCTGGGGCAACACCCTAATCAGACCTCTGGCATCCTAATCCTATTAGTGCTGTGCTCTGGGCTCCCACAGCCCCAGGCAAGAAACAAACCGGCCCCACCCCCACAGCTCCACCCTCACTCAGAACATCCTGTCCTGAGGACTGAGTTCCATCCCCCGGGAACTTCAGGCTGTCCTCTCTCCCTCTTAGACAACCCAAAGGAGCTTCTCCCTCAAAGACCCCAGAGAGAGAGAGAGACCCCCAGCCTCCCCTGAACATCAACCTTGTGTAGATCCCACCCCTCCTGCTGGGTGGTGGGGACCATTTTGTTTCTGCAGGGTCTGAAACTTCCCCCCGCCCCCTTTGTCAGTGGAAAAAGCCAGAGGGGAGAAAGAACATCAGCAGACTGTGCCCCAAGGCCCTAGCTGTCCTCTTAGAATAACCAAACCAAGCCAAGTGACAGCAGTTCTTTATTAGGAGTTAGGAGGTCTGTTCTGTCGTGGTTTCATTCACTCTCCCAGGCCTGGACAGCCTCAAAGCAGATCCCCACCTCGGCTCATCTCAGGCCACTGTAGGGAGACAGCGAGTGGCTGCTCTACATGCCACTAGCTGTGATCCTGGGAACAGGTCCCCTCGCCATGGGCAAAATGGGTTAAGATATCAGGGGCAAACCTGGGAGACCCCCAATGGAAAGGGTGCAGGAAAGAGGGGAAAGGGTGTGGGTGACATGCCCAGGTCTGCCTCAGGGCAGAGATGGAGCGGATTTGAGCAGACCCCTGCAGGCAGCGCCGGAGAAGAAGCTACTGGGAGCAGGGAGGCTCGGGGGCACAGTCCTTGAAGTAATCGTGGCAGTAGGTGCAGAGGCAGGCAAGCGAGCGCACGTACTCCACGAAGTCCACCTCACAGTCCTTGTTGGTGTCCAGAACACTCATGAACTTATTGTAGTCACACTCCCGAAACTCCGTCTGTTGGGGGGGATGAGTGGGGTTTATGGGGGGCAGGTTGAAGAGGGCAAGACGCCGCACACACAGACTGCTTCCCTCCCCCCCACTCCTGGGTGATCCCACCCATCCCAACCCACACCCCTTCTGGGGGCAACCTCAGCCTACCTGCCCTGATAACTCACCATGCCAATCCCCTCCCAAATCCTCCTCAGACCATTTGCTGAGCACCCACTCCTGCTGCCGCCTCTAGGTTAGGCATTCTTCACAGTGCTCCCACTGCACCCCCCGCAGCAGGGTGATGAGGAAACAGATTCCCGCCGCGTCAGTTCCCTTCCTAGAGCCCCTTCCCCATGGTCTAGCCCCCCCCAGCCCCCACTCTTGCTCAGAGCTTGTCCAAGCAAAGCTTCCCCCAAGGGTGGGCATCCCACGAGCTCACCGGGGTCCAGGTGGGCAGCTCCTTCTGCAGCAGCTCCTTGAGCTCTGCCTGGCAGAGCTTGTGCTTGTCCCCGCAGCGCCCCGCATACTCCCGGAAGGTGCACACAATGGCAGCCACCGCCTGCTCCAGAGGCCTAGCCATCCTCACTGTCACAGAGCAAGGGGGTGAGCCGCAGCAGAAGCCCAGGTCACTGCCCTGCACCTCTGCCCTCCGTGTTTCTGGGACTGCTCCCAGGCCTGTCTTAATTTCCACCAGGCTTCTGGCCTCATCAGCCCCTCCTCCTCTGAGCAGCCCTCCCTGATCACACCAGTGCCACCTAATCTATTTCCCTACCACCAATCCCTGCTGTTCTTATTTTCCTGGACAGAGGTCTCATTTCTCCAACATCTCTGCAAACCCCACAGGGACTCCCTGAGAAGTCCTTGATTCTCTCTAGCTTTTCTCATCCCAGACACCCAGGAAGGACTCAGTCCTACTCTGCACCACCCCAGGACATACAGCCCTTGGCCCTGGAAGCCTCCTCCCCTTCAAGACCCCAGAGTTTCTGTAGGAATTTGCTCAAAGAGACCCTTGCCCCATGTTCTCTGTCCTCAGGCCCTTAGAGAAGCTGGGCATTCTCAGGGAGGGTCAGGTCTGAGAGGGACCCCTCACCACCACCACCCATCACCATCCCTCCTCCCCTGACTCAGGGAAGCTACATCCAAAGGAAATGCTTCTGAGATCTTCTCTGCCTCTCACTAACTATGCAACCCTGGATGAGCTGTTGACCCTGCCTGGGTCTCAGGTGCCATATCTATAAAGTGAAGTCAATCTTACCTCACAGGCCTAGACAGGAAGTCAGCTCAGGTATATACCTCTCTAATCTGCCCCATCTGAGATTATCCCACTGACCCCTAATGGTCTTGAGACAGAAGGCTCTACATAGGGGTACCTTGTTCTGAGGAAATTTTTTCCATTGATTTTTAAACAGAGTGGGAGGGAGGGTGGGAGGGAGAGAGAGAGAGAAACACCTATTTGAGAGACACATAGATTGGTTGCCCCCAACCAAACCTGCAGCAGAGGTACTGTGCCCTTGATGGAATCGAATCCATGGACCGAGAACCAGTGACCCTTCGGTCTGAGGGTTGGTGCTCTAACCACTGAGCCAGGGCAGGGTACCTTGTTCTGTTAGAGGGGAAGCCCTTCTTGGAACTTCCCCACGCCATTCCACTGGCTCCTTTTACCGCCCTTTTGGGAGGACACCTCCAGCCTGGTGAAACCATAAGGCAGCTAGGAAGGCAAGTGTTGTTTTCATGTGAGCCCAATGACTCACTCCTGGTTCCCCAGGGGACAGGAGTCTTTCAACACAAGAGAGCCAGGGCCAAGCCTCGCCCCCTGATGATTCCCCCTCTGCTGGGCCCTATGGTGCATGTGGCCAGCAAATGATTGTGGCTGTGTGGGAAGAGGAGGGACAGGGTAATGGGTCCAAGCACTCCCAGGGGTCTAACTCTTTGTGACAGCCCGGGATTGAAGCAGGGTGTCCGGGTTCCCAGGAGAGGAAAGGGCTATGGTCCCAGGGAATCAGGAACCTCAGAGGTGCTCGGCTGCCCTTCTGGGCTCTTGCCAGCCTGCCTGGCGCCACCACTGTTGTTTTTCCAGAAGCTTGGTGCCTGGAAACTGGAGGGAATCCTCTCTTCCCTGTGCAGCCTGGCCTGTCTCAATCCATTGGCAGGGAAGAAAGAAGGAGGCAAGGGGGGGAGGAGGGAGCTAACTGAGGGCAGCACCAGTGCTTTGAGCCCATTGCCTCCACCCCAGGGCCAAACCTCAGCTCTGCACACCCCCTAACCCAAACTTCCCAACGACCCCTCACTATACAAGGGAAACCCTGAGTCCACTATATATGACTTCCCTCACCTCATCAGACCCTGCTGTGGTTATCCCTCCAGCCCCATGCCAAGACCCTGGGCTACCTGACACCCAATCCAGAGCACAACCCAAGCAGCAGGCACTTACCACTGGTGTTGGCGTTTCAACTGTAGGAGCCTATAGGCAGCACACCCCTATTTGTAGTCTGCCAAGGAAGGAAGGGGGCAATTATAGGGGAGCCCAAGTAGGTCAAGCTGAGGGTGCCCCCAGGGGCTCCCCTGCCTCCTTCCCTGGCAGCCCCTATTACAGGCCCACCCACTCACCTATCCATACACACATCAAAGGCCCAGTCTGGGCCTCAGACACCACCTCCCTTCACTCCCCTTCTACCCTCCCCCAGAGCTGGGAACTGGGGACAGCCTCCAGCTCATCTTCCTCTGTCGCTGCAGGAGACAGGCTGGGCTAGTTCATCACATCCATCCCCTATACTTCACTCAGAACAGGCGCCACAGAATACAAAGTGGGAACACACTCTAGCCTGGAGTAAGTTTTTATCCCCAGAGAGCCCCTGTGCCTGAGGGGATCTTGGAGCATTTACAGATGAGAAGATGGAAGCATGGGACACCCCCTGCCTAAGCTCCAGATCCTTTTGCATTTGGGGAGATCATCTGGAGGGTGTGTCAGGGAGGAAAAGTTTTTATTTTACCCTTCCAGGCTCTTTGACTGGCCTAATAATAAAATTAGCATAAGACAGATTAACAGGAGAGAGAAATTTAATTTTGTACATACAGGGTGATCCATAAGAATATGGAGCCCACAGGTGGTCAGGCAAGTGAGGCTTATGTGCTATTCTGAACTAAGGACAAGGGGTTAGGCTCTGGGACTTCAAAGGAGAGAAAGGCAATACATATGGAGATGAAAAAACAAATATTTGCTGGGTCAGAAAGAGACAATGGGACAAAGAGAGGATTGTCTCCAAGCCCCGCTGAGTCTCCTCTCCCACACTTAGCCCACATCCTTTGCAGATCCTTCTGATGATAGTGCTCTTCCTGGCCAGTGCTCTTCCTTTATCTAAATTCTTTTAGGCAGCTAAGGGGTCCGTAAAAGCTCTCCCTGAGACTTTTGGAACTCAATTGTCTTCAGCTCAAATAATCCACATGCCAGGGTGGTACATTCTGGGAATGCTCATTCCAAACCCCTGCAGATGTCTTTGAGGCACAGGGGGAAGGTGCCTTGCTCACAGGGGCACTTGCAGCAGTCTAGGCTGAGTTGGAGAGAACGCACGCCCCCCCCACGGTGCTGTGAGTGACCGTGGACTGCAGGCTCCGCGTGGGCTGCCTGTGGCTAGAGGTCTTTAAGCCCATTTCCTGCCTTCCCCAGCTCCGTTTAGTGCCACCCTTTCTTGAAGACCCATGAGGTGAGGTGGGTTTCCCCTGGCTTTTAGCTTAAATGTGTAACCCTTTAGGGTCCCAGAATGATGGAGAGGTGTCCCCCTTGTTTCCCCCCCGTCAAGTGAGCCCAGGGCTTTATCTCTGTCTTCATCACTTCACTAACCATCAAAACCAAAGGTCGTTTTGGCAGTTTGATCAATGCCTTCAGGGCACAAGGGGCCCTGGTGCCCTGCTGGCCTCCTGGAGTCTGCTTTCACTTAAATCTTGATTTCTACATTCCTTACTGCCTTGTCAGCACTTGCATACTTGAAAAAGATTTTTATTTAATTCTGTGCGGCATATTTTGTTGTTTTAGGTTGGAGCAGGCACAGATTACCATATTACCCCTTCTGAAGGGGTTCGGAACAGACCTCTCCAAGATGTGCCACTTGGGCATGTGAATTATTTTGACCTGAAGGCAACTGAGACCCTGTGGGTTCATGAGAAACTTTTACCTCTCCCTTAAAGAACTTTAATTAGGGATCTTGTCCATAATAAGAGTTATCGCTAGAAATAACTTTTTGCCTTATCTGTATGGCAGTGCAAACATGTAATTATTGAACACCTGCTTTTCTTATCGTCCAGTGAATGACCCTCCTCCCCTCTGAAGCCCCAGCTCCAGACCTCATCCTTAGCTCAGAATGTCCCATACACCTCATTTTAACTTTCTTTCTCTGAACCTTTCAGGTATGTAGGGCCTCTGACTTTTTCGTGTATGTGGGGTTTCCATGCATATATATGTAATTAAATTTGGCTTTTTTGTTTTCGTTGCTGTTAATATGTCTCATGTTGATTTCATTATTGCACCATCTGGAAGAGCCTAGAAGGGGAGAGGAAAGTTCCTTCCTGGCCACACTTCATATTCCTTCTCCATTCCCTCCCTCATCCCTGAGCCTGAGAGACCCCTTCCCATTTCACAGAAAGAGAACCCAAGACCCAGAAGAGTGTGGGAGGGGGAGGAGAGGTCATCTCCCAGGCCTCTGAAGAAGCCCTAGTGCTCCTGGAGGTAGCCAGAGAAATATCTTGAGCTCACTCCAGGCCCCCAGCAGCCAAGCCCTGCTTGTGCCATGAGCTCCTTGAAGACCATCCCTGTGGGTGAAGGGAGTGAGTGACAGGGAGGGAAGAGTGGGCTTCGATTAGCCTTGTTGTTTGGGTGTGTTTTTAATCCTCACCTGAGGATATGTTTTATTGATTTTAGAGAGATAGGAAGGGAGAGGAAGAGAGAAAGAGAGGAACTTCGATGTGAGAGAGAAACATCGATTAGTTGCCTCCCATATGTGCCCTGACCGGGAATCGAACCCTTCAGTGCATGGGACAACACTCCAACCAACTGAGCCACACCAGCCAGGACAACCCTGTTTTATAGGCAAGGAATTATGGGGAACAGGGCATAGAGGTGGGGCCAGAGTGGGCCAGCAATTAACTCATTTCTAGGTCAAGCACTTATTCTCACCTATGATATCCTAGCCTCGCCACCAGCCACCTCCCAGAAGCAGGTCACCCCCTCACCCCACTCCACCACCCCCCCCAACCTCATTTTCCTCATCTGTCAGTGACTGAGGATAATAATGGTAACCACTTCATAGGGTTGCTGTGGGTTTAAAGGAGTTAATACATATATACAAAGCTCATGAATAAGTAGTGCTTGGCACATGGTAAGGGCATAGACGTGAGAGGTAGGTAACTTGCCCAAGGTCACATAACTAATCAGTGGCAGGGCTCAGAGCCATTTGTTATTCATACAAATATTTAGAAACACCTGTCCAAGGCGTTGAGGATATAGCTATAAACAAAGCAAAAGAAGTCCCTGCTCTGTGAAGATGACATCTGAATGGAGAAAACAGGCAATAACGAATACATGAACAACCAGACTATACTAATGCCACCGCCAGCAAGTGGGCCTGGTTCTCCATTGATCCAGAGCATTTGGACTCCGCTCACCCAGGGTTCCCTTCACCTGACACAAAGCCAAGGCTTTGGAGATGGCTGGGGGGAAGGGGAGGAAGACCTGAACTGCAACCCCCATGTTGCATAGGAGTGAGACCTTTTCTTAGAGACCTAGTTCAAATTCCAGCACTGTTCCTTAATTAACCTCTCCCAGCCCTTATTTCCTTCCTCTGTGAAGTGCAGAAACGAAGGGCACATCTTTCATCCAATTGCTGAGGAGTCAATGAGATGGTGCTGGAGCAGGCCCAGCACAGAGCCTGGCCAGGAGGGGTGCTCCTTGAGTTGCAGGTGCTTTTCCCTCTAAAAGGGCCTAATAATAGCTCCTCCCCACATTACCATGAGGCTGGAATGACAATGTACACCAACAGAGCTTTGAGAACTGCTGTGGAAATGTTAATTACCATTATCAGGATTCCCTGACCTATAGTCACTGGTTCCCTTTCCTACAGGATATTAGGAAAGTGGGCTTCTCATTTTTTATTGCCAGAGCCTGCCTGGCCTTACCTCCCCAGCCCTAGACACGCAGTTGAGGCAGAACAGTGAGAACAAATAAGTTGTCCCAGCACCTCCTCACTCAGCTCCTCTCCATCTCTGGGGAGCGCTAGTCTGAGCTACTCTGTTAGTGGTTCCCAAGCATCAGAGTTTCCCAGGGAAGTAATAAAAGTAAAAAAACAATTCAGGAAAATGTTGTCTATTGCTTGTCTACTATTCATCCCCTCTTTCCTTATTACTAACATTCTTTTTTTTTACCAAAGTGTCAACATGTCGAGCTAAAAATACTTGGTTGCAGCTAAGGCTAGTCATATTGCCAAAGAGATGTAGGTGGAAATACCTGGGGAGAGTACTTCTTGCATAATAAAAAGGCAAAGAAGAAAACATTTTGTACCTAACCTTTTCTCTGACTTCCAGCTTGGAACACGGACAGTGAGGCCTGGAGGTATAGCAGCCATATTGTAATCATGAAGCAACAAGCACAAGGGGGAAAACATATATGCTATAGATTACAGGGCAAAAAACGAAAAGATACTGGGTGTCAGACAGGATCTCTGGGCCCCTGAGCCAATCCTGAACTGCCTACCCAGACTTCTTACTATGTAGGACAATTAAAGCCACTATTATTACACAGGTTTTCTGCAACTCATAGTTGAATAAATTCCTAACCAGTAGAAAACATTTTTATATCTGAAAGTGGAGCCCTCAAGTAGAATAATCTAAAATGTGGGATTGGCTAAGTGGAGGAAGGAAGGCAGTGAGATATGAGGACCCAATATGTGCAGCCTGGAAAGTCGGAGACCTTTGTTATGAAATGAGAAAATATTTGGTCAAACTGTCTCCTGATATATCTTGGGGTGCAGACCAAAGGGAAACCTTGGTGTAGTGATAGAGAAAGTGGTAGGAAAAGTTTAGAAAGCATGAGCGGGCTCCTTGCATCTTTCATCAAAGACCTGCAAGAGTAAGATGCTGCTATTACAAAAACCTAAAGCAGGTATCATTGGCTTTGGGACTAGGCAATGAACGAAGCTAGAATTACCTCAAAGAGGTTTTTAATAATCATTTGGAGGGCAGTGAAAAATTGCTACTGGAAGTTGAAGAAAAGGCAAACCCCATTATGTAGCGGTGGAGTATCTGGAAGTACCACTTTCTGTGACAATGAGAAAAATATAAAGGGTAACTAATGGAAATAGAAAAGGGGGCCAAATGAACTCATGGTTCTGCTAAGGAGATTTTCAGACAGAATATTGCCAATTGGTTTCTTCTGGCTGCTAATGGTAAAATATGAGAAGGAAAAGATGAATTAAAGAAGGAGCTGTTCAGTTTTTTAGCAGAATTTAAAGAAAATACAGAGGACCCAGGACAGACTTTTCAGCCAGTAAATGGCTCTCAATGTAATAAATGATCACAGGGCAAAGATCAAATCCAGGGCCCTGCCAATCAAAAAGACCTCATGGTAAAGATGAGGTAAGACCCTTTATGAAAACCTAAAAAAGATTCAAGGGCTAGTCTCACAGATCTTCTCAGATAAACAATATGGTGTCTGATAATTTTAGAAATGTGCCTCCTAGAGCTTTTCAGACAAGAGGGTCTTTAAGAATCATAAGGGCACCCTGGTGTAGCTCAGTAGGTTGAGAGTATTCCCATTCACTAAGAGGTCACCAGTTGATTCCTCATCATTGCGGGCTCAATCCCCACTAGGGGGCATGCAGGAGATGTCTCTCTCTCTCTCTCTCTCTCTCTCCCCCTCTCTCTCTTTAAAAAAAAACCAAAACAATAAAAACATATATTTTAAAAATAATAATCAAAAGGGCATTTTCTCACAACACCCTGACTCTCAGTCTAAGGTAGAGGAGGGCCAGTCTCAAAGAGATTTGTAAATGTGGTTTGGGTCTAATTAAGTGAGTTATAAGTTAATACATAGGAATGCCACAACATTTTAAAAAGAATTGTATCACCTTGGACTGAAAGGGGCAGAGACACCTCAAAACAAAAAGAAACTTTGTGTCTTCAACTTTTTATGGGCAAGAAGCAAACAGACATTTCTGATGGAAAGGAAAGTTAGCTCAGAAAATAAAACCAAGAGCCTAGAGGGTAGAGCCAAGAACCATTATAGGGAGAATAGCTAAACCGTAATTAAGAATCTGATGACATGTGTTTGACTTAATTCAGAATTGCTATAGACCAATGACCACTCTGCGCCTCCAACCCACCACCACCCCCTTTTGAAAAAGAGTGTTTATTTCAGTTATCTATCTCTGTCTCTCCTTTGTACATTGAATGTGTTGTTCACAGCTCTCCAGGTCAAGGGGAGTTATTCTTGAATAGCTGTACTGGAGGAACTGCCCCTGGGAAGCCTCATTCATATCTCAACCTGACTTACATAACAAAATTCTGAACTTCAAGTTGATGCCTTATTGGAATAAGATGCTGTGTGGGTCTTGGGAAGGAGGTGAGTGCATTTTGCATATGAAATGAACTTTGAACTGCGGTTGCTGGAAGACAGACTATGACATATAGTCTCCAAAGATAGTTGCTGTCAATTTTACCTTAAAAGATGGAGCTAATTCTCCTCCCCTTGAATAAGAGCCAGACTTAATGACTTGCTTGATCAATAGAATGCAACAGAAGTGACTTTCTGGGATTTCTGAGATAAATCTTAAGAAGCCTTGCAGATCCTATTTGAGCTTCTTGGGATGCTCGCTTTGGGGACACTCACTCTCAGAACAAAGTTCTGAGAAGCCAGGCCACACTGAGAAAGGTTATGGGTAGACATTCCAGATGACAGTCCTGGCTGAGCTCCCAGCTGACAACCAGCATCAATTGGCAGGTACATTGAGTGAGCGACTTTGGAAGTTGAGTTTATTTGAACTTTGTTTTTGTTTTTTAATGTGGTTGTTTTTAATTCTCACCCGAGGACATACTTAGAGGGAGAAAGAGAGAGAGAGAGAGAGAGAGAGAGGCCAATTGGTTGCCTTCCATACACACCCCAACCAGGGATCGAACCTATAGCCAAAGCATGTACCCTGACTGGGAATTGAATTAGGAACCTCTTGGTGTACAGGACAACGCTCAACCAACTGAGCCACTCCCACTGGGCTCATTTGAGCTTTCAGATGAATCCAGCCCCAACTTCCAGCCGAAACCACATAAGAAACCCATGTGGTGGAAGTCCAATCAATTGATCCCAGTCTACTCACAGAACCCTGAGAAATAATAAGTTTACATTTTAATTCACCAAGTGTTGAGGTGGTTTCTTATGCAGCAATAGGTAACCAGAACAGCATCTTCAAGTCACTGAACCAAACCTGAATTGCATACACCAGACTTTTTTATTATATGAGGCATTTAAATGCTTATTTATTTAAGCCACAATTAGTGAGGTTTCCTATAATTTGCAACTGGATATATTCCTAACTGGTAGAGAATTTGGTAACTAGAAGTGAGATCCATAAATAAAAATAAAAAATAAAAAGAACCCAAAATGTGGAATTGGATGAAGAAAAAAAAAGAATAAAATATGAGGACCTTTGCAAACTGGAAAGTTAGTGATCTTGTTATGAGATGGCAAAGCATTTGGTCAAACTATCATCTGATAATGCACAATAGGATGCATAATATACAGCATCCTAGGTTACAATTTTAGGGAAAATGGTAGAAAAAAAATCAGAATGTTGATATGAGCTAGTCCCTAGTAGTTTTCAGCAGAGACCAACAGGAGAAGAATGAACTCTAACTAGAGCTAGGAAATCTGAAAGCAGATATAAAAAGAAATGCAGCTTTACTGAAAACAGGGACACTGCCTATGGCTTGCAATCAGACAAGAAGTCCTTAATATGAAGTTTTGTTGGTTGATTAGACTAACTTATGTCTCTTGAGCAGATCCCAATACAACTGGCTGCTCACAGTATTGAATGTCAAAGTCTGTCCTTTGTTCTGAGATTATCTCTTTCATTCTTTGTTGGAATATTTTTATGAAATGATAGTGATAGTAGATGGGATTTGCCTTTTTTAATATCTTTATTTGGAAGGGGAAAAAAAGTCAGCAAATGGCCCTGGCAGGGTGGCTCAGTTGGTTGGAACACTGTCCCATGCTCCGAAAGGCAACAGGTTCAATTCCCAGTCAGGGCACATACCTAGGCTGTGGTGTCAAACCCTGGTCGGGGTGTATACAAGAGGCAACCAATCCATGTGTTTCTCTCACATCAATGTTTCTCTTTCTCCCTTCCTCTATCTCTAAAATCAATTTTTTAAAAAATTTTCAAAAATGTTAGCAAACTATCTCAATTTCCAAATTTTCCAGGTATTTGAAACCCCAAAGTGTGAAACCTAAGGCATAGCTCTGGCCTTGGGGAGACTTCCAGATGGAGAGTCAGGGCTCAAAAAGGGGTCAGATCTAGGAAGCCCTCAGTTTTCAGCACCGCAACGTTGCCAGTCAGGTTACAAGACATCACTGAGCAATTAAAATATTATCAACAAACAGAAAAGTTTATTGAGTACAAAACTAAAAAAGTTAGAAAGTCCTCCGGGGCCCCAGGAGACCCATGGCAGGGAGCTGAGAGCCCTGCTTCAGGGCCGGTCTGGAAGGCCCTGGAAGAAGTCATTGCACATGATAGTGACAAGGGCCAGGAAAACAGCATACTCCTGAAAGTCCACCTCCTGGTCACTGTTCTCATCCAGGTTGCCCATCAGCTTCTTCAGGCCCTCCTCATCTACCTTCTCCTGAAAGCAAGAGAGAATGGGGTGATCACCAGGCCAATCTCTACCCCACCTCCACCCCAAACACACACTCACTGGTCAGAGCCCAGTTCTCCCTTTGAACTGGGAAACCTGGGAAGCATTGGGCAGAGAGCCCCTGGGAGCTACTAAGAGGGCCCATGATTGAGGACAGATGGATGCTCACTGGTGAGATCCTCCAGCTCTCCTTGCAGGGAGCACGCCAGGCACCCCCAAGCACAGGATCAGCTCTTCTCCCCACAGGAGCCCAGCGTGGGCATCATAACTCCCATTTTGCTGACAAAGAAACTAAAGCTTTCTGGAGCCACTGCCAATCTCCATCACCAGAAAGGTGAATTCAGAAAAGGCAAACTCTTTTTAAAACAACCAAAGTAAAATCAAACTTTAAAAGTTTGACCCCAAAAAATATTTTTAAGGAAAGAAGGACCCACTTCATAGGTTCAGAGTCTGAGACTTGACTTTGGGATTATCCAGGAGCTGGTATGGGGAGGGGGAGGGGCAGATTGAAAGTTGACTGCATTTCTCTGCAAATGTCTCAGAGTGTGTGTCTTAGCTGGACCTTTCTCCCCCAACACACCTTAATTTGGCATATAAATATAAAAAAATGAGAGAGAGAAAGATCTGTGTGATCTTGGGCCAGGCACTTCCTCTCTCTGGGCTCTGGTTTGCTCAACTCTCCAATGAGGGGATTGAATAGACTTTGAGGGCACTAACAGCACATCTATTCTCTAGAAAGCTGCAGGGAACAGCCAGTAAGAGGGTTCTCACACGTGGCCTTACTCCCACTCCAATGAGATCATGAAGGGCCCAGCCCCACCCTGGTGTCTGCATCAGCAGGCACCCTCAAGAGGGGAGAAGAGATAACCGGTGCCCTTTCACATACACCAGGACCCTCCCACCTGAGGCCACCCCACTCACCCCTACAAAGCTGGGCAGCTCCTTGTGCAGAAGTTCCTTCATCTCTCCCTTACTCAGCTTGAACTTGTCGCCCTCCTTGCCAGAGTACTTGTGGAAGGTAGTGACCATCACAGCCAACGCCTGCTCTAGGGGACTGGACATCTTGGATCTGGAGCCAAATGGATGACAGGTGTTGGAGGCTCCTCAGCCCAGCCTGCAGGGCCCACTGCCGCCCCTGTGCCCTAACCTGCCTCTCCAAACCTTCTGAAGGGAAGGCAGGGGCCGCATCTCCCCCTCAGACTGTGGCTCCCCGGGCAGGGGCCACGCCTCCACCTCACACTGAAGGCAGATGCTAAACCTTCCCCTGTGTTTGGAAGTCACCAAGGGCAGGGCCTCATGTCTCCTCTGATCACCCTTGGGACACACCCCAGAGCAGGGCTTCCCTGTTTGAGTGTCTGTGGGAAAGGGGATGACAGGGTGATCAGAGTTCCATTTGGCTCCTTCCCAGGCCAGTGGACTCTGTGCCAACACTGGGGTAACAGGCATATCCATGGGCTAGTTAGCTGAGATTCACTGGGCTAGGGCAGTAAACGTGGCTACAGCCTAGATACGAGGTTCCCTGAGGAGTCGATTCCATCCTCAGATGGGGCTCCTAAGGCCAAAGGATGTCACTCTCCCTGGAATCTAATGAACAAAATAAACAGATGAATAAAATAGAACCAGAGGCATGGAAACATGGAACAGACTGATGAATCTCAGAGGGAAGGTGGAGGTGGGG